ATTGTCACTTTAAGTTGTTTCTAATTTACAGGTAATACTAAGAGGGGAATTATTTTTTCTGAGCATTCTATTACACATACTTTCTCACATTTCTGTTTTATTTCTGTATATCTATAATTATTAGTTGTTGTTGTTGTTGTTGTTTTTGTGTGTATTTGTCTTTGTGAACCTTTTGGCACAAATAAAATGTTCTGAATATTAAAAAAAAAAAAACAGAAGTTAAACTTCAACGGTTGAACTCCAATCTTATGAAGAAGCAAAAGAATTATATTTATTTGTATATATAATATTTCTTTCTGTTCAGTTGTATATTAATAAATTAAACTGTCTTTATATTATTTTTCTTGTCTATCTACTCATCAATTGGTAATCATTGCTAATTAATTGCTATATATTCTTCTCATATATATTTTCTTTAATTTAAATGTTCTTTAATTGATTTGGTGGTCAAAAAAAAAACATACTCTATTAAAAATATATACAAGATATACACAAATTTACAAATAACAGAAATTGTTCAAGTTCAATATGGATTATTAAAATAAAGCACAACAGCAATGACATGCAGGAATAAGTTCAGCTGGAATAGTCCAAATACCAGCACTTTTTATTCATCAATATCAAAGTTGTTTAATTTCATGTAATGTAAAAGAAATGCCTTTTGTTCTGAGTTGCAATTTACAATCATCTAAAACGATTAAAAAGAGACGCTTTGTAATCTATATAAATGTGCTGATACTAAGTAAGAGTACACAAAAGATCCAAAAAGTGTTACTCTTCACCCTCAATAAACGTGATCATTCAGTATTAAATTATAAAGATTATCAATATACTGAAAAACGAGAACATAAAACTCGTAATAAATGGTGCCGTCGTAATAGAAATTGTATAAGTTCAATATCATCATGTTCACAAGACAAATCAATTATCCATGAGGAAACAGATTATACATGTACACTAGATATAAATAAAGTTATCGTTAATAATATTTTTCTTTTAACTTTAACTCTCATCTCTTCAATGTAATGATTGAACTGCTCATGAAAAAAAGTTCGTATAAAAGAATGGTCAAAAACGCGTTTCCGAAAAAATGGAACGTGTTTTATTGACAACAGAACACCTCGGTCTTTCGAACGGATTCCTAGTAAAGACGAACTCGTTTCTTCTGAAGACAAACGTGTTATCATTGAATGCATCCCTAATCGATAAGAATCCGTTCCTGGGGAACGTGTTCGAATGCGTTCAATAGCAAACGCGTTCTGTGACTGTGAGAATGGATCCCGAAAAGAACGTGTTTGAACAGTTCAAACCTAACGCATTCTTACAGTCTTCGAAAGCGTTCGTGTGTTGAGCAAGAACGCATTTCTGACTTAGAAGAGTATGTTCTTCAAGAGCGTGTTAGGATGCATTCAGTAAGAACGCGTTGTTAAGTGAGAGGAACGCGTTTTTAATTCTTTCAAGTCGAAAGATTAGAACGTCGTTGATTAGATCTCAAGGTAGCATATGAACGTCGTGGCCGAAGTACTTCTGAGGGCTATCCAAGAACTAAAAAATAGGAATTTTGACCTGTTCAAGAATTATCAACAGGTCCATGATAAGTCCTTATAGCAAGGAAAGGATTGACCGAAGAGAGCGAGTTTCTAATAGGTCTACCAATAGTTTCTTTGCTGCAACATAGTCAACACCAGGCGTTCAATCGACGTTCATTGTTAAGAGTAAAGCTAACTGACTAGGGAAGGCCACCAACTGTCCCATCGCTTTCTGCCTAAAACTTAGTGGACAATAGATGATCGAGTGTGCTGAATCCGGATATCACAACGATTTTCCCCCAAAGGTCTCTAGAGATCTCGGTTTTTGGAAAACCAGTTTTTCAGAAACTCTAAAAATAACCAAAATCTTTCTTAATAAGGCCTGATTGTAGCCTGCACATTTCTGATTAAAATGAGACAACTCCCAGCTCTACATGACCTTTCTTTGCAAAGTTATACAATTGTTTACAAGAAAAGCCCTAAATGTTAATTGTCAGCTCAAAGCTACAGAAATAAGAAGAAATTAATTTAGGACTTTTCTTGGAAATTCTATAACTTTGCAAAGAAAGATCGTGTACAGCTCCCAGTTCCCCTAAGTTCCACCATAGCCAAAATCAGAATCATGTATTCTTTCTAACATTTTTTCACACGTACACATTCTGAATTCCCTATTTCTCGATACAAGGTGGGTGTAGGAGTGATAAATATTGTGGACAATGCATCATCCTGGTTTTGGGATGTCGTAGAACTCATGGGGACTGTGAGGGAATTGAAGATCACTTCCTCTGTTCTTCGGGTAATTGTAACTCTATTCTCAACACCCTGATATTGAAATAGGTTAGAATTTCTATATCTCGGTTGTTGGACACGGTTGTGCTCTGACGAGACCATTTATCGTCTCACCTTCCTTCCTCGGCGGCCAGCAAAAACAACAAAGCCCACATGAACCTTTATAATATATAAAGACAAAAATATCTAATAAACAAGCTTGTAAAAAAAATACGCAAAACTGTGGTCTCGAACTCAGTTTTAATAAAAGTCAGTTACAGTCACAGTTCTCAAAACAATGTTGAGTCTTCCAACACCATACTAAAAACTATTTTGGTCATCATTAGAATGATATTACCGTTAGGATATCGACCGAATGTCTAGATCTACTCTCTCATTAAATATAAACAAGAAATTCAACTTATAAGTAATAAGCGCGATATAGCCTAATGATAACTCGTTGGACTCCTGATTATAAGGTCCCCAGGTTGAATCTAGGACAAAGCAAAGAAAAACGCATTCAGAGACGGAAAGAACTGACAGAGACTTGAGAAGAGCGGAGAGGTAAAGCTTTTTTCTACCAGTTAACAGGAACGCGTCCTGAAGACGCTTTTAGCGTTCTTTTGGAACGTGTTTTTATTGCCTAAGAACGATTTTTTTTCTCAACGTGTCCCTGGTAGAGAGGAACACGTTTTCTTTTGCAAAAAGAATGCGTTCGTTCAAGAGAAAAACGAGTTCCAAAACAACGCTAAAAGCGTCTTTAGGACGCGTTTCATTTTTTCAAGAATGCGTTCTTCCTCGTTCTTTTTTCTGAACTTTTTTCCATGGTTGGAGAGATGAAGGTTACGCTTCAATGAATCAGTTTTTGTAAACATTTGTACGCACCAAAGCAAGGGAAATATAATAAGTTAAAAAGTTAAACAACTTATTAACTAACGTAAAGACATGGATAGGCAGTGGAATAGCATCGAAAATGACAATGACGAGAATTACCAAGGAAAAGATTGTTTGCCATTGAAAATATTTGATGGTACAAAAACGTCTATTAACGATTTGACAGAAGCGTCAATCACCTACATGTGGCTGAGACGCATAAAAGAAATATTTCTTGCCATGAGTAAAAGACGTGATGATGATCCTTTTGTGGAACACGACTTGGTTATAGCCAAAGAGGATATGCATCAAACATGCACTCGGTACATCGAAAGTATCAGACCAACATCAAACATTCTTAATGAGGTAATGCCATCTTTTTTTACACGTATTGTAAACTGAAAATGCTATATTTATATAGAATGTCACACCACAAGATGCCGATGAATGTAGTGTCCAAAAAATACAAGCCCAAATAAAAAAGCTCTCTGAAGCAGTTAATAAGGTCACACATGATTCGTCGACTGATACTGATGTGAATGAAATCAAGGATAATATTTCAAGCTTACAACATACAATTAAAAAACTCAAAAGAATGCTCGATAATCTTTCAGCTAACGTTGATCAAAAGAACACCACAACGTTGCAAACAATTGTTCAAAAATTGGAGAAAAAAAGTCAAAAAACAAGTTTACAATTGAGACAAGACTGGAGTTTACAAAAGCTATACGCTGAATTGTTCAAAATGTCTTATTCAAGAAGTTCGACATCTTTAGAGGTAATAACAATTATCTACTCAACTTAGTTTAAAGTTTTATTAGAAGAAAAGTGACCAAATCGGGGTATATTCATTGCACGCTACAGTGGAAAAGAAAAAAAGAATAGGCAGAATTCATGAGGTGATTGAATATGAAGAAGACTGTGTAAAGAGACATAGTGTTTTCATTATGAGTTAAGAACGTTACATTACACTTCAATATATCAATACTTAGTAGCCGTCTCTTCGATCACAAAAATATAAATACTAATTGAGAGTTCATTTTCAAAACTGTATGATCCACAACATTTACAATGGCATATAAGCAGACATTATCAGTAAATAATTAGCATAAACATTGAAAGTACTCGGAAAGTCATCAACAAAAATAAAGGGAATAATATGGAACGTAACACCTATTTCAAAATCGACTAGTTCAGATTTATTCTTAGGAACAACTTCGCCCGATGAAACGTGGTGATGAAGAGCCAAATTTTCATAATGCCATATGGTGGTATTCATGTGACAAAGCATCAATTTACTATCAAATAAACAGCATATTACGACTAGAGAATTTTGAATTACTCATGTCATATCGGTACTATTTGAGCGATTTATGTAGAATGATTGAGACGATATTCAGTGATACAAAGAAAACAAATCAAAAAGGCATTACGTTGTATCGTGCCGATAAAGTAAATAAATCAAGTTTCGAAAAAATGGAACAGAAACAAAAAGGTCAATTGATCACCATGAACGGTTTTGTGTCTACAACGACAGACATCAGTATCGCCGAAGGTTATGCAAGAAATCAATTTGTGCCACCAGGTGCCATTTCAGTGTTATTCGAAATCAAATATAATCCGAAAAAACAATGTACAGCATTTGCTGATATCGAAGACATATCTTTCCATCCAGAGGAGAAGGAAGTATTGTTCAGTATGGGTTCAGCATTTGCCATCGATAGAGTCGATGCGCCATTGCCAGGCGAAAGTTTTTATCGAATTAAGCTGACAGCAAGTGATCTTGATAAATCAATTGTCAGCGATATGAAATCGAAGGTTGAACAGTCAAGTTCGTCTGGTCTATCAATGTTACTCGCCCGCTATCTGATTGAACTGGGCGAATATCGTGCAGTTAAAAAGTATTTGAACTCTCTATTAAACTGTGATATACTAATGGATGACCCATCAATTGCATCTGCTTTCAATTGTATGGGCATGATTTATTCTCGACAAGGATTGTACGCTGACGCTCTTAAATATTTTAAACAAGCGTTAAATCATCAAACACGACTCGAATATTCGAATAATAACGCCCTTGCCGAAATTCACAATAATATTGGCGAAGCTTACGTGAATCTGTCGTACTTTGATGAAGCACTCGAAGTATTCAACGAAGCAAAACGGACACAAATGCGCGAGCCATTGTCAACTCGACAACATTTAGCATCAATTCATTCTAATATTGGCTATGCTTATTACAAGAAAAAAGACTTTGATGATGCAGAAAAATCTTTCACAACAGCTGATGAGCTGTATTCAAGTAAAACCACTCGCAAATTAGCATATGATGCACTCGAGCAACGTTTGATGGAAGCTGATTTGAATTTAAAATATGGAAATTTATTGAGCGTTAAACAACAGTTTGAAAAAGCAGACGAACAGTATGATAAGGCAATCAAAATGTATCAAACACTATTGACCGAAACTGATCCAAAACTAATGAAAGCACATACAGACTGCATCGTGGAATATACAAGAACACGGGCATATACCAAAGTAATCGAAAAATACAAGAATGGGCTTAGCGATCTACTTCATAAATACGAATCGAAAGCGTTTGAGGTAACCACAACAACAGATTTGAAAATTTTGACCAATCTCTATTATCTAATTGGTGCTTGTTACGCTGCTACGGAAAAATATGACGAGGCTATTCAATCATGGAAAAGTGGTTACATTTGTAAACGAAAAAATCATATCGATCAACTTCTGCGCGCAACGTCCGATGACGACGCTAATGATGAAGACTTGAGTTTATTATACTTTATACACAAATCATTTCGCAAAGTATCCGAGACAAAGACAAAAGACAAAGGATTGGTTTATTTTCTCTCAGAGCAATACGAGAAGGCAAAAATTGAACTCGAACAAACCAAAAATAGTGACCCGATTGATCGAGTTCTACTAGCTGATCTTTACACTCAGTTAAATTTACATGATTTAGCTATTGAGAATTATGAAAATGCTGTTTCAAGGATGAATGTAACGAAAACTGATCCAATTGTCACAGAAATATATTTATCAGTGGCGCAATCAGAAACGGGCCTCGAAAAACTGCAAGAACACGAAAAATATTTTAGAATAAATGAATCAGACAATAGAACGGTTAGTATGAAAGCTGTTATCAAGGATCAATTGGCTAAATGCTATCTCGAAAAAGCGAATAGAAATGTTGCTCAGCATTTTTATATGCGAAAGCACGTTCAATTGCCGAACAGTCTATCGCTTTAAAATCTCAAAATTTCTCACAATATCATCCGAGTATAGCAACTAGTTACAGCCTAATTGCTGAGACATACTTGGGAGAAAATAATTACAAACAAGCCATTGAAATGTATCAAAAAACGATTGAAATTCAACAGTTAAATTTACCAATGGATCATCGAGATATAAAACAAAGTTATTCCAAAATGGGCAATATATTTTGTAAGATGTACAAACTAAATGATGCTATTGAGAAATATCAATTTGCCATCGAAGACGGCGCATCTTCATTATTAAACGCAATAATGTATAGTACAAAAGCCGAGTTGCTTGCTGAACAAAAAGACTATTGGTCAGCCGGTGATGAAGAAATGAAATCTCGTACCATTTTAGTAGAACAGTTACCGAAAGATTTGGTCGACATTGCCGAAGCGACATTTATGGATACATCGCTGGATGATCTGAAACTTTTGATCAACAACAGAGTGCAGCTATCTGATATCCGTTCATTTGCAACATTTCTTGCCGATTTATCATACATTTATCTTAAAGAAGGCTACATAAAATTCAAGCAAAGCTCAGTTGAATGTGAAATGATGTATCAAGAAGCGCTCAATTTACAACTGAAAATAACCTTATTTCAAAATTCAGATGAAGATGTGACGACAAAAATCTATCAGACACTCGGGTTTGTTAATGCTGCAAATGATATCAACGACGAAGCACTACGCAACTACTACCATGCTATGGATAATGATAGCAATTATGTAATCCATTGGAAATTGGTTAATCTCTACGAAGAACAGGAAAGGTATTCAGTGGCACTTAGTCACTGTAAGCATCTTCTTAGATATACTGAGATGATACAAGATACACAAAATGTGATAAAGAATAAATTCGAATTTTTGACAAACAAAGGAAAAGCAGAGGGCTCTGATGAAGAAGAAAATTTTGACGTAGATAGAGAATCTTCAGATGGAGAAAGTGTTTCGAGCGCAGACTCACCAGCAAAAGACACGCATTTTATAAATTCTAACGATCGATTTTTATCACCAAATTTATCACTTGCCAATACCTATTACCTTTTGCAAGACTACCCAAGAGCACTCGACTACTATCAGAAAGATATCGAACATCGAACGAAAAAGCTCTCTCAGAAACCACTGTTGATCAAATGCAAAGTTGATTCAGATAATATGTGGTTGTTTTTAATTGAATTATTCACAAAACAGATTTCACAAATTAAGCAATCAAAGCGAATTGATTCGTATGAAAGTATGACTTATGAATTTATAGGTGATTTATATACTAAATGTGCTGAAATCGCTGTCAAAATAACCACATACTCTGATGCTGTTTATAGTTATGCAAACGCTTTACAACTATATACTAACTATTGCTTTGAACAGAACTCAAAAACTGTTTCAATACTTAATAGATTATCTCATAAAGGAGTTCTGTCTGTCACTGACATAACAAAGTTTTATGAGAATATCCCTGATGTCAATAGAGAATATAAAACTTGGATTAAACTGAAAATGATCTTGTTAGAGCATGAACTAGCCAAAGATATTGATGAATATGAACGTATAATCCAAATGTGTTTCACTTGTAAACAAGATCTAGACTTGTCAAATCATTCAGATCTGATGATCGATGCTGCACTTAATTATGTTATACTTAAAATTTGTAAGGAAAAATACGGTTATGATGATGGCATGGAGATTATTAACAAACTGAAAATAAATGAACAAAATCTCCCTATATATGATGTTATTGTACTTTATCGGATGATGGTCGACTTTATTGTTGAATTTGCCGACAAAAATTACGATAGTATCGATAATGAAGAAGTGGAGCAAGATGAAGATGGAAATGACAACGACGAAGATCTCGAAACAGTAGAGAAATACCAAAAATTGTTGTTTCAACAAATATCAAAAGCGGTCACACCGGTTCTTACTAAAGACAGCAGGATGTTTCAAACATTCTTGGTGGATGATAACACTGATGATAAAAGCGTGTTTTCGTGTATTGGTGATATTTTAACAAATATTGGTGCTTACAATTTAGCTGCTGCCTATTGGGAAAATATTCGATGGGAGAAAGAGCAGATGCTATCCACGCCTATTTTGAACATAATCCTTTCAAAACAATCAAATGTGCCACTGATTTATAATGAAATGAAACGGATGGAAATAGATTTAGCCAAGTGCCTAACTTCAATTGCACAAAGCTACGATAAATATGGCGGATTCTGCGAGAAGTATGGTGATGAGTTGCGTCAAAATCAGAGCGGACAAGAAGATGATATTGCCGCTGTAGAATGGTATACACATACTAAAGCCGTGTTTGATATAGCAGACTCTCTCTATAAAATATTGGGAATAAAGGTTAATGAATCTCACCGCAACTTACTGGAGAAAAAAATCCATGCAGGAAGCGAATTGATAATTGCTGAAGATAATTCAGAGGAACATGCAATTTTTTAAATTCAAGAAATCTTATTAGTTAATATAGATACGACATTTATGAAATCATAAGTTTTATTGTTTTTTTAAAAAAAATAAATATCTGGAGTATTCTATGCCAATTACTATGCACGTAACCAATGTCAAGTTGCATCCTCTTAAGATTCTTTTTCGAAATTTGTAATTAAACTGACATGTGACCCAGTAGGGAGACATCTCTCTCGAGAAGCTGTAGTCATATATAGCGCCATTAGCCTATTTTCTTCTGCATCTTTCAAAATAGTTCAAATATTACATCTAAAGATATTTTATTATTTTGTTATCGATCAAACGCGTTATTCTGCTCATTTTATATAACAGAGTCGGCACGATCGAAAACATCAAATTCTCTTTTCTGTTCTTGCACAAATACTGAGGATTTATTTTGGAATTATAATGTTAAGGGGGAGCTAATGTCCCTCCTCAATTTCAGGTATATTGTAGATTCGTATGAATCATTTTTGTACATACAGTACATATAAGAGACGATACTTATAATTATATATGTGCGTATACAAGCTTAATTCTTTTCTGAATGAAAAGAAAAAAAGACATTAAGGTGAAAGAAAGAGGACACTATTAACAGACTCAGGTGTGCATGGGTTCGGTTAACTGAAACCGATGCATGCCTCAACAGTGAGTTGAAGCACACACACACACACACAAAAAATCGGAGAATAGAATAAAAAGCGCTAGTTTCCACGCAAAAACAGTTTATCGTTTCTTTCTCGAAAACTAAGAGTTGTCCAAGAAAACAGATAGCATATTCGGAATCCTCGTGAAATTACGAATCAGAATATGTATTTTGTTTCTCTTATTTTCAGTCCGATAGAAAATTGAACGTTTTACTATGTACCCTAGTGAAACTTCTTGTAACCAAGATCCTGACTCCTTGAATTTTTTTCAGTAAGATCTTGATTCAAGATCTTGGTAAGAAAATATAAGAATTCAAAAAATTTCAAGAAGCCAAGATCTTGAACATCTTGCGATTTCTTGACTTTTTGTACCAAGATCTGAGAAATTCTTGAATCATCGTTTTATTTTACACTCTTATGTATAAATGTAAGTGCGAATATTTTCACACTTAGAATAACTTCAAATTTTTTTCCTTCTTGAGAGGGGTGGCAAAATATATGCATCTAGTATAAAATCGATCCATCTAGATGCAAAGATGGAAAGTCGATGCATCTAGATGTAAAGATGGAAGCGGCTCACTCTCATCTTTTCCCCCCTCCACCTCTTGTCCTTCCATCTTTACATCTAGATGCATCGACTTTCCATCTTTACATCAAGATGCATTGACTTTATACTAGATGCATATATTCTGCCACGTATGCACCGGTTGAAAGTTTTGAAACATCTGCTCTTCTCACCCTGTTTTTCGTCAAAAAAACTAAATTTTTACGTCTTTTTCAGTCAGAATAAATAAGATGATGCTCAAAACAGATATTATTTTCATCACTTGTTTTAAGGTTAAATATTATAGACTCGTTATTGTGAAGGTTCTCTCACACGTGCTCGCAAACTACTTTGTTTCGGGGGGAAATTCTTTCTGAAAATCGATTTTCGAAAAACTTCATTAGGTTTTCGCTGGTATTTTACCGGTTTTCGCCGGTCTGAGCTATAATTCCAACCCGTCCGTTTACCGGCCGGACCGGACCAGTTTATCTTTTCTCAACCAGCTCCAGCTCTGAGTCGTATACCCAATGGCTACGATTGTCACCAATAAAAACAAAATGTAAAGAAAAGTTATCACTCAAGCTCTCGCAACATCTTGAGTGGATTCACTCAAGATCTTGAGTACAAAAAGTTTCACTAAGGTACTATTTATAAACGCTGTACACTCCCAATCGAATGAATCCGTAGCTTTTTCCGAAGCCTTCGCCGACATTCAATGGACGAACTTACCTTTGTCAAGTGGCACTGAACGCTGTAAGATATCTTTTCTGTTGTTCATTGATCGTATTATTATTTGTTTGTGACATCATTGTATTGCCCATTGCGAAATTTCTATGTTCGGCACCATAGATGAATCTTAGACAGATATCAATTAATCTTAAGAATTCATTACGAAATGTTCTTGATGATAATGTATAAAAATAAAATCCAAAGACATGTTCAATATAAGATACTAAACGTATAAACTGTGTTGCAAAATTATCTTGAGCAACTTTCAAACTAGTTTTAACATTATTCAATGTAAATGTGTCATACAATTTCTGGATGCCAAATGGACTTGTAAATATAAGAATAAGAGTAACTTGACAAAATAACATTATCATTAATTGAATATCTTTCTTTCTGATTTTTATATTGGGGACACCTTGACTAGGAACTATATGTCGACGAATTTTTCCAACATTTGATATAGTAAGCATTCCAAATACGGCCATCAGTAATGGTGGCCCCATTGCATAGGATAGAACATATTGAATGTCCGAAAACATTCTATAGGGACCACTGAGAGCATAACATGTCAATGTTAATTTTCCAGATGAACTTAACTGAGATTGTATGTCAAACAATAGAAATATATGTAAATAGCTCAATAAACAAACAATCGTTGCAATAATTATTGCTCTTTGTGATACATATGAACTACTAAATTTTCTGTATTTGACATTTTGACAGCTCGATGAAAATCGATCGACACAAGCTAACAAAATAAACCATGATGATAACGATCGTGATACATACGTTATGTAATATCGAATTTTACAATATATACTTGGACTGATGCTTGAATTAATGTTGTAACCATCAGATATTATTCGAGTTATTATGACAAAATACAAAACAAAATAGTTTGTGATTGTTGATGCAAGAAAATATTGAACACAAGAATTTTTTCTTAATGATCTTCTTGTGAATATAATAATGTTTAAAGTTAAACCAATAGATCCGAAAAACAGTAATGGTAACGGAAAATAACGATTAATCTGTACAGATAGATAATTGAGTAGGTTAATTTGATCAGCAGCTGAATTCGACATCATCAAACACTATACTCGAGAACTGACTTCATTTCAAATGCATTCTTTAATATTCACGATTCTAACTGTCGATGGAAGAGGCCTTCTAGCTTAGATTCTTGACAGACTTTATGTCATTCTTGACAATTTAATATTAAATATTCATTGAAAAGCTGATCGTTAAATCATTTATGATGCGATGAAAGCAAATATCTGTAGAATTAAATTGGTTTTTGGAAAATGAATTTCAGTTTCTTTTCTGTTCTAATACATAAGAAAAGATGTGGATCGTTAATTTAAGAAAATATTTTGATGACATATTCAGAAAGAAGAGACTCAAATGCATATGTTTAAACGTTTTCGTTCTTTTCTGGACCTTTTAACAAAAGAGATTCCGATCCTTTAATTTTTCAGAATACTGTAGAATTCATTTGCCAACAGCTAATTTAATCCTAGTAGAGTCTTTAAAACTTAGTTTTGTACTTTCCATAGTGAATAAATTCATGTTACTAGTTATGGCCCAAGAATTTGACAAGGCCATGAGAGTAGATCTGTCAAAGAAAAGAGAGTGAGGACTCTACTTTCGCATAATATTATATTTTCTTCTTAAATTAACGGTCCACATCTTTTCTTATGTATTAGAACAGAAAAGAAACTGAAATTCATTTTCCAAAAACCAATTTAATTCTACAGATATTTGCTTTCATCGCATCATAAATGATTTAACGATCAGCTTTTCAATGGATATTTAATATTAAATTGTCAAGAATGACATAAAGTCTGTCAAGAATCTAAGCTAGAAGGCCTCTTCCATCGACAGTTAGAATCGTGAATATTAAAGAATTCATTTGAAATGAAGTCAGTTTACTGAAGCTAGGCTTTCCAGTATATTACTCCGCATGCCTCGATGTAATACTATCATAATCAACTGGAATCCAATTATGCATTTTACATAATTAAATAAAGTTATCGACATCCCAGTCGCGTTAAATACTATTCAAAACTCATTTTGAGAAAAGGAAGTTCACCAGCGCATGTTTTCCTGTCTTTAAATTTAACGTTGAGATCTCGAAATTTCAACCGCTTCAAAGGTGAATTATCTTAATACATAAACGATGTTCAAAGATTCTAAAGAAAACGATGTTAAGACATCAAACACATTTAAAATATCGTGTTCCAAACTAAATAATATATTTTTCTACCTTTCTGGTAAAATACTTGGCATATTATTAATTTGAATCGTTATCTGATATTTTGGTCAAAACGTTACCGTGACATGCTTCAAGGTCATCCAGATTGAAGGGCAAACTAGGCAATTTTAACCTGTGATTAGAATATTACTAGCTAATAAATGTGTTTTTTCTGAATGATCATGATTCTCAAGTCATCAAATGAAAAGTAAACTTTCAACAAAAAACTCACGCTACGGGATTCAACATGGAAAATGTTAACTGAACTTGTTTTAAAAAGATTTCTTATCTACACACAGGTTGATGTATCTTGGCATCTTCTATAGAAGATTCAGGTATACCTGATTCCAAATATATTATTTACTTTGATTAAAAATGCTTTCAAACTGAAAACCTTCGTGTTCGACGTTAAAACCTCGAAGATACTATTATATGTGAATCAAAAGCAACAATAACTGACGAGGGAAGTACCCCAACTGATAAATCGCTTTTTTAACGAAACCGAGTGGACTATAGGTAGTCGACGATGCTGATTCCGAATATCACCATGAATACTGCTGTTTGGTCTTCAAAGACCGGTCTTCTGGAAAATCAGTTTTCGAGAAACTCTAAAGAACAACCAAAAGCTTTCTTAATGAGGCGTGATTGTA